AAACCACAGGCTGACCCAAGAATTCTGTTAAATTCTATCTCATACAAATCAAATCAAATCAAATCAAATCAAAATGAAAATAACAGATGGTATGTTCTCTTTATTAGCAAGCATTTTTTTTTTTAAACAGGGATGAACTTCTGTTTTAACTAGTAGTTGATTACTTATTAGGTAAGTCCTTAGATTACAATTTTTATATCAATTTTATACTTCTGAAAATCGAATTAAATTTCTTTTGGCTTGTTTTTGGCTATATTGAAACGTTGTTTCTCTTTTAACTACTCACGCACACTTGGTGCCAGGGATTATAAGACAAACATCAAAGCTTGCTATACGCCTCTGCCATACAGCTTCGGTTACAACGCCAGGCGAGCCAGCACAATGGCAGTGAGGATTCCCGGAAGCCAATTCTAAGCATGCAGAACTACCAATAATGACCTTAACTCAACTTTTCCTTAGCCAGATTCCTAAAGTGATGGTGGCTTAACACTATTGTCTGAGAAAAGTGGTCAGAGGGTAGGTTAGAGTGATGGTACACTTAACCTATTGCAATGAAGATTTTTCTATTCCCAAGTTTCATGAAAGCATATAAACATGTAAACACTTCTTTAGGCTTTTAGGCTTTTCCTCAGGGCTTTGAAAGGTCATAGTAAGAGACCTGAAACTTAAGCTTCAGTAGCCAGTAGCATCACAATAAGTCTGTCTCCACATTTAGTAATAAGTTGTTGAATAAATGAATGTGCAAATGAATGAATAAATTTGGTTTGCAAATTCTTCTGTGGATTGTATAACATTAGCAAAGAAAGGATTTTAGCAAAATGCTAGGACCCTCTTTTTCCTGACATATGACATTTATGTTTAATTGCTGTCATTTTAGTTAGAAATGATAAATTTCCTCTCTTCTGATTGAAGTAATTAGAATTGTTATAGTTTTTTCAGAAAGACAAAAGCGGTTATATGGAGAAGAAACACTAAGATTAGGGTATATCCTTCAGCAGAGGAAACTGGAGACGATTGTAGAGATCATCAATAAACACACATACTTATTAAAACTTCTACCCAGAGCTTTAGTGACACTGTAGGTGTAGATGGCTGATGAAAGTGTTACACTTTCATAAATAATTTTCCACTTGAGCAGAGATTAAAGGAATTACATAGGCTCCACTCAATGTTGAGAGGTTCGAGAAGAATTGATAAAAGACAGGAGAGAGGACTTGGTTGGACTTCAAGGGAGAAGAGTTAGAAACTGGTGGGTGCCATGGCCACACTGACTGGCATAGTAGACGTCTATTATCTAGCTGTCATCTGTCGTATCGATCTCTCTGGATTTCCAGCTGCCCTTTACCTCCACTTGTGTATACGCTAAGTAATCTTGGAAGATTCACCCTTTGTTTTCTCCCATTCTCTGTCCATGTATTTCAAGTGGGACTTCAGATAAGGCTCATGATCCAGTTCTGACTCACCAGGTTGTCCTACTACCCTTGGTATGGTGATTGGTTTCTTGGGTATGAAGACCAAGATGGGCCAAGCAAAGTCAACACCATAAGTTTTTCTGGCACTATAGGGAAAAAGGTCGTTCATCTGATAGATAACCAGGAACTGAGAGACGAGACACTCTTGCCACCATGTAGAGAAAGGCTGCCTGAGAATGAAGCTAACATAAAGGAGTGTGTAATCAAACGATGGCAACAGAGAGAAAATGTCTCGATAACATCACCACGGATCAAGTTGTGTCTGAAGTCAATTGCACTCCTTGGCATACTAGTTATGTAAGACAATGATTCTTTTTTCTTGCATAAACCTTTTCTGTCACTCACAACCATAGTTAGCTGAATAATATAATTGGTTTTAATCAAGTGAGCATGAGAATATTCAAGTATCAGCCAAAGAACTAAAGTTCTTAGGGGAAGCTGTATCTTTATTTGCTATCTCTTGCTTAAATTTACTGCCAGACTGGGAACTAGAATTATGTATCTGTTACCAAGGCCCATCCTGAGAGGTGAAAGGGGTGACCTGACAATCTCATGAGTTTGAAATAATACAATCTGTGTGAGTATGTGAGTGTGAGTGTGTGTGTGTGTGTGTGTGTGTGTGTGTGTGTGTGTATACTGAGTTTCAAGCAGACCTGCAAGATCTATCACAGTGGAAGGACAAGGGGAGCATGCATCTGGCATAAGGCGTGAGATGCCTGAAGTTAAATAGGAGGCAGAGGCTTATTTCACAATTTGCCTTGAGCTGGTATGACTGTAATCTAAACTCTTAAAGGATGTCTATAATGAAGCTGTATCTCAAGAAATTATGCTGAAGCTACCCGTTGTCAAGAAACAAAACTTCCCTGCAGATGAACTTTCTACAGCCATTCTTACCCTTGAAACAGCTTCCTGGCTCATTCCTTTATGACCCAGGCCCCTCAGTGTTCTTACACTGACACATGGTGTCCCTTCAGATGCCTTTCCCTAAGACACTTTGGAACTCCCCAAGTGCTTCTCCAATGTGCTATTTTTAAAGCAAATACATAAATGTTTTTCTTCCGGCAGGGGGTTTTTGCTAGTGACAATAACAAAGTATATTAAATTAAAAAAAATATTGGGTTAATTTCTGCAAAGGTATTAGAAACTCTCAACAAGCACAATAGTGTCCACGTCTCATCTTCAGTGGCACATGAACAGGGCTTGGCTGGCCATGTCCTAACCTCTTCCTGGCCTCCCTTTCTGGGTGGTCCTCGTTCCACTCATTTCACAACTGTTCCACTTGCGGGTGAGGGAAGTGGTACCTTGTCATTATCCTTCCTGCCTCAGTGAGCACCAGGACTTTCCAAGAAATGGGAAGCCTGGTTTTGGGCCCTCAGAATTATGTGGTGCCTCAGAACTCACTCTCAAAAGGAGCCCATCCCAGGAGTGTCTGATCTCTAAGCGTCCTTTTCAGTTGAAGAAAAAGACCAGTTACTCTGTGATATTTGTGGTCAAAACATCACCTTTTTCTCTAGGTATCAAAAATACTGAGATGCTCCACAGAAGATGGGAAGATTGAAAATTTTAACTTCTGTTTGCCTCTGTTCCTAAATCTCTAAAATTATAACATCAACCTTAGACAGTTACTGTGAGAATTAAATGGGTTAATTTATACAGCACACTCATTCTGCATGCTCTCTCTAGGTTAGCATCTCTGTTGATTTTGTCTCTTTCTTCTTTTCTTCTAGGGCAGCAGGA